TAGGGGGTATTGGGGGGGCCCGGGGGGTAATGAGGGTGTTGGGGGCGGTTTGGGGGGGTGTATGGGGGTATTGGCAGTATTGGGGGACACTATGGGGGTGTTGGATGTGTTATTGGGGATTCTGGACCCCTCCCCCCCCACCAAAAAAAAAAAAAAAAACCCATAAAAAACTTCTCTCTCTCTGCCTACGGTTTACCGGGCAGTTCTGTTTGTGACGATATATATATATATCTTCTCTCTCTCTGCCTACGGTTTTACCGGGCAGTTCTGTTTGTGACAATATATACTACGACTTCGCTAGCTTCCTGCTACGGTTTTTTCCGGTCAGNTCTCTCTCTCTGCCTACGGTTTTACCGGGCAGTTCTGTTTGTGACAATATATACTACGACTTCGCTAGCTTCCTGCTACGGTTTTTTCCGGTCAGGTCGAGCGGCAGTGGTCGGGGCCGTTACTAGGCGGCCATATGCTGTGCCTCCAGTGCCAGCGGCGTGTCTGGAGTGTATTTTTTGGCTGTGACAGACTTTTCTTTGTTTCGTGGATGTTCTGCTGGCTTGTGATGGGGTGTGAACCGACAGTCTGTAGAGTTTTCCATCTGGTGTGGGTGAGTGATTGATAGTCTACTTCGATTTTGGTTAAGGTAGATTATCATTTACAGTGGAATCAGTGAGGGGATTCTGCAGACTGTTGAGGGTTCAGCCTCCTGATGAGTCGGTGAAACTCCGACGAAACAGTTTGTCACAGCCCCTCGTTTGTTGTCCTCTTCTCTCTCTCTGCCTACGGTTTTACCGGGCAGTTCTGTTTGTGACGATATATATATAATATATATGCCTGCCTCTACGCCTATCTCTGTGCCTGCCTCTGTACCTGTCTCTTTGCCTGTTTCTGTGTCCGTCTCCTTCCAGATTACTGTCCCTATGGGTACCTCGTGTACTTCGTCCCCGCCTCTGCACCTGTCTCTGTGCCTGCGTCCACACCTGTCTCCATGCCTGTTTCTGTGTCTGTCTGCGTGCCTACCTCCATGTCTGTCACTGCGCCTGCTTTAGTCTTCATTCCCCCACATGCTGCACTAACACCTTGTGACCTCCTTCTTTGTGAGATCACTGACACAGTTACACTTGGTTGTGGAAAGCATCGACTTTGTCGACATCGCTACCACCGTATAATTTTTCGGGCCCGCTGTCGGCAGGGATGCCAACTGTATCCGGATTGTGAATATCCTCTACATCCAAATGCAGTATGTCCCATCTGTGCCTGCGGGCGCTATAGCGAATGTGCACTTAACTGTGATGGTGAATGCCCCACAATCGTCATGGCCTGCAACCGGCATGCCCTCTGTCGTGCATGCTTCAGAGGTATGGTTAATGCTAGCCGCCCTGACTCCTGCTGTGATGAAGTTGCTTACCTGAATGGTTTTCGTCCTGTAGATCAGTGGGAGGGCTGCTACCGTCGCCCGCATCCTTATGACAGTTGTCCTATCTGTCGTGAGGGTCTTACTTAGACGTACCTTGCACCCTGACAAAAATGTGCAGGTGCGCTGAAAAGAGTGTACAAGAATGTGCAAAGGTGGGAAACCCTTCACTAAAACTGCAAAACAGTGAAGAACGCAGTAAAAGAAGAACATAAGTTTGTGTCATTTTACTTCGTTTGTACCCTGCACCCTAACACCCTCAAGCGAAAAGTCAGAAGGGTGAAAATGAGAATGAAAAATGAAGAAGTGCAGGTGCGCTGAAAACCAAACGTGGTAGACTCTTCACCAAAACTGTGAAAGAAAGAAAAGAAAAGAAGATATTTGTGTCAATTATTTTTTACAATTTTTTTTTTTTTTTCTCCCTCTGCCCTATCAGTTTTCCTTTTCGTCTCCTGTCTTCCTTGTGTTTAGCACCTCTTTAAAAGGGCCTTTACTCGATTCAGCCCCTGACTGACGAGTGTGGCACAGTGGGATCACTCACCCAGAGCCCCAACTCGTGAAAGCAGATCAAAGGACATGTTCTCTGGGTCAAAAGTCACATCCTAGCTAAAGTAAAAGTCAATGTCTAAGGACACAGTTGTGCCCCTGGACGAACAGTTGCAGTGTTCAAATGTGGGAGTCACATATGTTCATCCAGGGGGTGTGCAGGTTATGTCTGTTCATACAGGAGATGTGTCTGTTCGTGCAGTAAGTGTGTCTGTTCGAGCAGTAGATGTGTCTATTCGTGCAGTAGCTGTGCCTGTTCAAAAGAAGTCCAAAGGATAAAGTCCCAGTTAAGATTCAAGTCAAAGGGAGAGTCTAAATTCAGGCATCAAGTCCAAAATTCAGGCCAGATGGCCGCAGCAGCAGCAGACCCTGAAGGGAAAGTACTGGGACACACACCATGCAGAGGTCTGGGACTGAAGGAGGCCCAAAGGTGCCAATGCAGACCTCGCAAAGGGAGGCCAGCAGTATAAAGAAGCAGGCCAGCCTCCCTTGAAGACAGATCCCCAGTGGCATTCTGGCGTGGAAGTGCTGAAGGCACTTGTGCGC